ACGTCACAGAGGCTGTGGATATACAGACTGCAGTCAACTGTAGATTTGTGTGTTGTTGAGGAGATAGCGGTGTGTTTCATCACGTGTGCTGCTTTGTCACCACGAAGTCATCGATGAACAGGAAGCAGGCTGCCAGTCCTCTTCCTGTTTGCCATCTGACCTTTCACCCCCTTCGTTCGTTCCACTTCCTCCGCTCTGTCCTTTTTATCATCCGTCTCTCACTTTCACCCTCTGATGACAGCGACGAGTCGACCGTCCCCTCGCAGGAAGAAATATCTGGTTCATAGGAAGGAAAGGAAATTAAATGTTGTATCCGTCAGACACATCAGCAGCTACTGACTCAGAGTTACAAGACAAGTATGACTTTTTATCATCGAATAATTTCAGTGAGTCTTAAACTGTCTCTTTAAAGCGACAAGCCTAATATTTGTTTTAAACTGTGAGAGTTTGATGCTTCTCTTGATCTTTTATTACAGTAAACTGAATATTTTGGTTTTGTTTTGAACTTCTGGTCAAACAAAACGAGACATTTGAAGACGACAACTTGTGCTTTAGATTATAAAGGGATTTCCTCTTTTAAGGTTTTTGGTGTCTTTTTAGACCAAACGGTTCATTGGTTAATCAGAAGCAAGAGGTGTGATTAGTCAGAGATCGGTTTGGTATTCGTTGAAGACTCGGATGGATGGATGGAGCTGATTATGCTGCAGGAGTGATTTGAGAGGTTTCTGCAGATGTTTGATACTTTTTCCACAAAAATGACTTTATTGTGATTTTTGTGAACAGCTCCAGTTTAACATCCTATAGCCACATTTCAAGCCCTGTGTGCTTTGAGATGTTCCCTCTCCCTGTGTTATCATGTCTTTGCACAATTGCAGCAGTCTTTGGTCCTCAGCTGTTTGAGTCTAAATCGAGCAGAATGCAAGTTGTAATTTTCTCTTTTTCAGTCGGCTGAATGTGTGCGAGCTGCGGGGATTTACCCATGATGGAGCTGTAATCTGAGACAGCATTCTGTGCTGGAAGAGTAGAGATTAGTGGATGAAGACAGAACTGTGACAGTGGGGACGCCCACTTAAAACCCCCTGCACACTGCTCCCCGTCACGTTTTTAAACCAGGAGCACAGTGTTGAAGCCGACTCTTACAGGGACAGGGAGCGTATCCCTGCACAGAAGCAAATGTGCATCTAGACATGGACAAGAGGCTCGTGGTTGTGACAGTGCTAGCTGTAAACATTAATAGCGTCCTCCTTGGCTGAGCTGGAACATAAACTAGTTGCGCTAAAAGCACCAGATGGTGATGGTCTGATTCAACGGTGGCAGAGAAAGTTGCTATTCCAGCATTGGCATCAACTGCCTACACTGCGGAGCAACTCAAAACACCAAGACAGACTTATGTAAAAGAGTCTAAATAGAGTCTGACAACAAACGAAATTAAACTCCTGTCAGTATCAGCGAAGCGTTTCAGAGATGGAGAGAAAATACTGCGAATAGTGAAGCCTTCTGCCAACTGGAGCTAAAGGCTCACTGCTGCGACTTCAAGTTCATGTTTGCATAGCTTTTAATTGACGTTTCACTAAGCATGGAGCCCACACTGTCACTAACTGCACTCCTTGCAGAAATATGATCATATTTTTGGAAAGAGTGATTCCAGAGAGAAGCAGACAGAGGGGTCTACAGTCTGTGTTTGAAGGATATATCCAGGATATCAAACTGACTCAGCAGCAACAACAGGTTAAAAAGACAAAGATAGTTAGAAGCTAAAGCCGAACTATAGGCTACAGATCACAGTGTGAAAGTGAACCACTTAGCTAGCAGTCGATGCACACTTCCTTCTGTGGATTGACAACGTCGTTGATTGTAGTTCTGTAGAAAGAAAATAGTTCCTACATGACACGGTAGCGCAGTGGGTAGCACTGTCGCCTCACAGCAAGAGGGTTCCTGGTTCGATCCCAGGTGGGGGAGCCCTTCCGTGTGGAGTTTGCATGTTCTCCCTGTGTCAGCGTGGGTTTCCTCCAGGTGCTCCAGCTTCCTCCCACAGTCCAAAGACATGCAGGTTAATTGGTGACTCTAAATTGTCCGTAGGTGTGAATGTGAGTGTGAATGTGAGTGTGAATGGTTGTCTGTCTCTATGTGTCAGCCCTGTGATAGTCTGGTGACCTGTCCAGGGTGAACCCTGCCTCTCACCCAGTGTCAGCTGGGATGGCCGCTGTTAGAGCAGTTACATAATGACAACAGGTTGTAGACAGGTGTGTATTTAAATATATTTACTGTGATGGACAAACAGCTCATAAACAGGATTTACTCATGTGCTCCTAAAATCTGACATTTCTGTTCGACATTTGAAGGAATTTGGGTTTAAATTTGGGAGGATGGCGCAGAGTTTCTGTTGTTATGATTCATGCACAGTCACGTCCTTCTGTCTGCCTGTCTGTCCGTTTGTCTGTGTGTCTGGTTCTCTGTCTGTCCGTCTGTCTTATTCCCCCTCAGCCTCTGTAAACATTTCATCAGAGAGAGGCAGCGAAGAAGAAAGAGGATGGAGGGTGAGAGAGGGCAAAGGACATTTACAGTTACATAAGAGTGCTTTCAGCATCTCACAGCATCACTGCATGTCCTTTTTTTTATAACACACACACACACACACACACACACACACACACACACACACACACCAGCCTGCCCTCTGCTCTTCAGTTTAATCACGTATTGATCTTGTAAATCAACACCACCATGTCCAGTCTGCTCTCGCCTCTCTCTATTCGTCTCTCATTTATATCTCTTACATTCAAATTAGCTTTTTGGCAGCAATTATTCAGAATTTTTAACAAAAACATTTACAAAAAATAAGACAACAAATGGTGTGCACATAGATACTAGATTACAGTACAACGGAGGATTTCTGTAAAGATCTAAAAATATTGGTAAAAAAGGAAGAGTCAGATTTTAAAGGAGCGCTGTGGGCTCTGTCTCCTCTCTGATTGGCTGATGAGATTCAGGGCTTTGACTCATTGGTCTGACCTCTGAGTCATTGTGTGTGTGTGTGTGTGTGTGTGTGTGTGCGTGTGTGCAGCTGCTGTGTTTCTTCAGTGTCTCTCATCAGTTTTAATTCAGTCTCACCTCGGTGAACTTTATCGACATGAAACAACAGGACACAAAAATATCAAAAACTCAACAGCAGTTGCAAACGTGACATAAAGTAGAAAAATTAACACTGATACAAACAATTAGACATCGTGGTGATTAAAGCTCAGGTAGGCACTGGCAGTTGAATTTTAGCGTCAGTGGGCTTATAATTCCATAATGAAACTTTGAGCAGATCTGGTCTGAGAGAACACGAGACTCCTGCTCCTCCTCTTGGCTGTTTTTGTTTTCAGGCTTTAGAAAATCCAGTCTGTGACGGGGGACTTTCAGAGAGAGGGCGTTCCTATTGGCTGTTCTGTAAAAGCGGATGTGCATGCAAGTCTCTTCAGTGAAATCTGATTCAATAGTTGAGAATCCTGCAGAGAAAGTTGCTGTTCCAGCATTGGCATCATCTGCCTACACTGCAAAGCAACCCAAAAAAATAATGACAATAAACAAAATAAAACTCAACTCAAAATCAGCGAAATGTTTTGGAGAAAATGTTGCTAATAGTTTGGCGGCCTGCTCAGCAGAGCTAAAGGCTCACGGCTGCAGCTTCAAGGTCACACTTACGCAGCTTTTCATAGTGTTTATTGTAGTGTTGCACAGTATACCGGTACTAAAATAGTACCGCGGTACTAGAGTATTCCAAACGGTACTATACTGCATTTGGAAAATAACGGTACTTTGAAATTGATTCAATTCATTAATTTAGTTAATTTATTTTACTCATTTATGCACACAAACGCCTTTCTTGTTCCTATTGGAGCACAGATTGCGCAAGTGGTGTGTATGACAACACCTGTATCAACATTCACAGCTGGCGCACGTGAAAAAAGACAAGAGAAAGTCTGCCTCGCAAAGGGAGACAACACGAGACAACACGAACTTGGTGGAACATTTGAGTTACCAAACCGTGACTTCTTTACTGAGGTACTTACCGAACCATGATTTTTTTTGGTACTGTTACACCCCTACTATTTATTGTTCTAAAGGTTTGTATCCAAAAGGACTTTTCCTTAGGAAAAGTACCGAAGAGTATCAAAAAGTATCGAAATTCATATTGGTATTGGTACCGAAACAAAGATTTTGGTATCGTGACAACACTAGTTTATTGTTATTTCCAACTCATCACAAGAAGTGTTTAGCGTGGCTGCGATCAGCCCGGGCGGCCTCCTCATGGAGATCTGCACTCTGCTGTGCAGAGCCCGGTCTCACTCCGAAGTGCTTGGCACCTGGCGCTTGGGCAGTGACTTGCTGTGTCAGAAAACAACGAAAAAGGCGTCCTTTAACGTCAGCATGATATGCGGCCGGGTTGCCGTTATAGTTTAACGGTGCCTAGCAGCATTAGGAGGAAACACGCGGGATAAGGATGAAAGTTAAGGCGTCAAAAGTCCCGAGTGGGGCGGGATGGATGGTGGATGGGTCCAACAAACACCGTCTTTCACCTGAGAGAGCGGTGTTTGTGTCCTGTAAGATTCAAAAGCCAAACCCTGTTCTTTTTTTCTAAACCCAACCATGTGTGTGTGTTGTTGAAGGAAAAAAACATCAATTTGCGATGTTGTAACGATGTAGTGCTTTTATTTTGAAAGAGACTGTATGCAAACTGTACATTTCCTGTGAAAACAGGAGTGTATTTTGAAAACAGACAATGCATGTAACAGGCTGAAGTTGACGCGGCGTCCCAGAACGTCAACAACCAACACACCCAGGGTACCTTGGATATAAATGGTTTGCCACCTGAAAACCACCTGAAACCTCTGTGTTTTTTAAACTAATATTTTGTACCTGTCTCTTTGACCGCATATATTTAGGAATGGTGTGAACTCTCTAATGTGTGATATTTGATTAATTAACCTTGGACTCTATCTTCTTTCTCTCTGCAGTGGAGGGCAGACAGACGGCATGACAGAGGAGAAATGTCCCCAGCTGGTGGACTACTTTGTAGTAGCAGGTCTCGACCCTGCGGGGGACTGGAAGCCCCTGGACGAGGATGGCAAAACCTGCAGCTCCTCCTCCACATCCTCCTCCTCTACGTTGTCGGGCCGAGCAGTGGAGTCGGTGACGGACCTGGCGGTGATCGCCCGTGGGCTCGGGGAGGAAGTGCCGGAGGGCTTCACCTGCATCGAGAGGACGCTGGGCGGACACTCGGCCGAGCTGAGTGCCGGCCTCATCAACAACCCTCACCTGTACCTGTGCTACCGCCGAGGACGGGACAAACCGCCCATACTGGACCTCGGGTGAGATGAACTCTTCTGTCTGGTTCTCTATGTGCAGTTTGAGAGTAGAGAGCTTTAACACATGAAACAAGATGCTGACAGGTGAGACCAGGCTGACTGTTTAGCAGCATCAGTCTGTCAGTTGGTCCACCTGCTTTAAGTTGACTCTGAAGTGTCTGAACAGCGATTGGATGGACTTTGAAGAAATGTAGTTAAGGGTGCTTTCACACCTGCCCTGTTTGGTTCAGTTCAATCTTGCAAGTGTACTCTTCTTCAACGTTTGCTTTACTTCCTGGATTTTTCCCACATGGAAATTCTGACCAATCAAGAGCAGCTTTCTCACACAAGGCATTTGATCTGGTCCTCTTGTAAATGCTGCCGTGAGAACACGAACCAGCTCTAGGCAATTATACAACTTTGGAACAACATGAGTCCCTGATTCAGACCAAAGGAGACCACTCTAGGGCTGACAGCAGCCTCAGACTAGATGCTCAGCGCCTTGTCACATTGCTGGTGTTTGTAGCAGAGTGTAGACTTTGCAGCGTTCCCACTAACAAAAAACCCCCACTTCTTGACAAATCAAGTAGAGCTGTTACTGAAGCTGCACTTGTCGTTGTCTTCCAGGTGTAATTGTTGTTCTTCTGGGCTGGAAAGCATTTTTTTCTTCTTCCTTTGGCATTTAACAGCAGCCTAGAACACTTGGAGGTGTATATGCTGCCCTGTCAGTGCCAGATGACTTGCATCCTCAGTATCTACCACTGTCACATTATCAGCACTTTGGCATCAACTTGTACCAAAGTATCGGTTCTCGTGACATCCTGTGATCGGAAACAAATCGGTGCTCATTCCTGAGAGCAGTGATCACAATGTGTAAATTTTCCAACAGTCAACATAAAGCAAAAACAGAAAAGTTTAAGAAGTTTAAATCATCAAATGCTTTTATTATTGTTTAAAAACTACCATAAACAATTAATAAATGATCAAAAAATAGTTGCAGATTACTTTTCTGACTAATTCTTGCAGCTCTAGTTATTTTCATTGGATGTTTTCATTTTACAGAAGATAAAATAAGCTGTAAATTGTAGTTGTACAGGTGAGTACACCTGAAGACCAAACGTTAGACCAGAGCCTCAGTATCTAATATTATGTCTTTAACTTTGGGTTATGTTGTAATGTATAGAGGACGGAAGCTTACAGCAAAAATAAATAAATAATTTGATAAATACATTAATATACCATTAAATGTGCCAAAAAATAATATTAATCAATTAATAAAATGTGACAGGAAATTATATTTTTTTCTTAATTTAATTTATCATTATTATTATTATTATTATTATTATTTTGTATTTAAGTTTAAAATAAATAAAAATGATTCATTAGTATTTTATGTATTTTAAATAAGAATTAAATTAAGGAAAAGTGAAATACTTCTTCACTGACAGATGAAACAGTTGCTTTGTCTTTATTTATTTAGATTTTAAATAAATAAAAGTTATTATTATTATTACTGTATTTTTGGATCTTCCGTCCTCCACAGTAATGATGATGTGATGCTCAGAGAATAATCTGCCCCTCGCTGGCTGCAGATGTCACATGACTTTGTCCTCAATGAAATTAGGTACATTAGAGAGAAAATATGTTGTTGTTTTTTGTTTGTTTGTTTTTTAACATCGAGGACGTCTTTCTGTTTATTTCCTATATCGTCATCAATCTGCTGTTTATCTTGATGCCTCTTCTGACCCGTCGTGGTCACAGCTCGGTCGCACCACAGGAATAAAGTGTTGTAATTAATATCAAACACTCAGACTTCATGTCGCTCTGTAAATGATTCTGCTGTTTCAGTCTGAAATGAATAGAAACCATTCGCACCACGATCAGGTCCAGAGCGTTGAGTTCACGTGATGCATATTAAAGATTATATAATCCAGAGGATTATGTAATGCAGTGGTGGGCAGACTGTGTCGTGTTCTCATCAGCGACACACAGACTCTTTTCTATTGTCTCTCTCATGTTTAACTCTTTAATTACTCAGGATTACGCTCCTGTTGGAGGATAATGAGGGAAATCCTCTTATATTAGAATCAGATTACATCTCGTCAGGAGCGAAGCTGGAAGGTAGAGAATCACTGAGTTTTTCCAGGATTTTTTTTTTATCTAATTGGAGCAGTTTTCATCACAAATCATTCTCCTTCTCTGAGTCATAACTCAAATGTGAACACAAAGACATGAAACACATATTTTTAGATTGAGTGTGACGTACACCATCAGCAAATCTAACAACCAAAACTCTGCTTACAAATCATTAAAAAGAGGCTCCTTGTTGCTGCAGAACATGCCTGAGAAAAGTTTTCTTCTGTCCCACAGTAATACACTGATAGGTGTGTGTTCATGCATGGATACGCTGCAACAGGAGCTGCTGATAGATCATTCAGACAACTTTTAATGGTGCTAATTTGCCGAAACAAATATAGACTAAATTAAACAGGGCTCAGGTCGTAGCCCACAGCTGATTCCATGGAAACGTTGTTCCAGAAATGAAGTCATGCACATGATTTCCTGCAAAACATCAACATGTTAACTGGGGTTTATTCTGCTGCGTTGAAACGATGTTGTACCTTCAGCATAGACTTTGCATAGACACGAACCCTACGCTGTAACCTAACGTGCACCTTCCCAGAAATATAACTGCACAGTGACACAGACTTAACGTCATATTATTCATACATACTCTTATCATGATGGCCCACCAGCAGATGGAGACATGAAATTCTTTTCAGTGTTTGTGATATTCATTCATTGTGCAGAATATAGATAGTTAATTTTAAAGCCGATATCTGCCGAAACCGATGACGTGCTGATTTTATTGTGCAGCCTCGAAACAGACATTTTTCATACCAGTGTAGGAGGTGGAGGCACAATAACCGCACCAGTTTTGAATCAGTTCTGTTGCGACCAGGTTTGACTTGTGTTTCAGCCCGTGCTCTATCACTGCTCTCCAGTCTGTTCGTTTCTTTTTCTCTTTGCTGATGCTGCCACAGTATCAGCCACAACAACAAAAGATAACGTCAAAAATAAAACTCTCTGAAGAAAAATCTCCTGCTGCTTTGTTTTAACTGGCTAACATACGACTCACTGCCAAACCTTGCTTGAAAAAAAATATATGTAGGCTCTCCAGCCTGCGTCCTGTAAATCATTTTGTCTGATTTGGTGGGGAGTCAATCCAAGCACAGGCATCAGGAATAACTGTATTGTTGTGTTCCTAGATCAGACTCAGGGGACGAGGGAAGTGACATGAAAGTGAAACAAAAATGTAGTGATAAAAGGGAATGCTTCAAAATGTTAATAAAAAGACTGCTTTCTTTAAAGATAAACTAAGAATATGATGCTAATTTAATTAAATGTCTAAATTAACAATTAAACACCAGGTTTGCCACCCTCCTCCACTCTCTGCATGCTGAGGAGGCAGGAGGGATGCACCTGATCAGGTACAAAGAAAAGAAACACAAGAAACAAGCGGAGAAAAAGGGTGCACCCACCTGTCACCTGTAACATATGTGGAAACAGTCAATCTTCTCTCTGTGGGTCTGGTTTGCTTCTGAAGGTCATAGAAAGTCACAATTGCTGATAATGTTTTTTATCAGATTTTCAGCACTGCAGTGAATCAACATGTTGACACGGTAACACAAAGGTTTTTATGTGTTTCTGAGCAGCTGAAGAAACATTTTAATGCAGACCTTCATATTTTTCCAACCTTTTGTGGGTCGAATTCGCCAACGTCAGTACAGAGTTTTCACATGAAACAATCTGTTTGGTCTGAACCTGTCCCTGCAGGGTTCTGTATGAAGGGAAGGAGCAGCTGAAGCAGGGCTGGTACGTCATCGAGACGACGCCCTACAGCCGCTCGGCCAGCCTGAGCTCCGGCGGCGGCCCCACAGCTCACCGGGTGTTCCTGACGTACCGGCGGGCTCTGGACTCGCAGGGCCTCCACACGCTGGGCGTCACCGACATCGCCCTCCTGCTGCCCAGCAAAGGAGAGGTCGCCCCGCACACCTTCTGCAGAGTCGACAAGAACCTCAACACCGGCATGGTGAGCATGTCTGGGAGGGTTTGTAGATTTGTTATTGTGAGAGGTAGTGATGGTTCAGCACTGAGCTCTGAAACTCTACCAGGAATTTACTCATGCTGCTGGAAATGACCCTTAGCACTTCCTGTAGATGTTTCACAATACAAGTCTTGGAGGGATTTAAACAGCAAATTAAAATGACTGATAGGAGGAAAACATACAAGAAGCTTGTCTCAGATTGGAACATCTTGTCAGATGGCTGCAGCTGAAAATTAGCCTGCTGACAAATACTGGTACATTTACAGAAATGTTTTTTATTTATTTATTTATTCAAACTTTATTTAACCAGAAAAACCTCTTGAGATTTTTCAGGAGTGTGCCAAACTCTGTACGTACCCTCAGTACAGACTATAAAAACATGTTTTGTGAACGCACAGCAGAAACGTTACAGAAATGTTGATTAATGTGCTTAAAAATAAAGAAAACAAAGTTCAAAATGAAACAGTTGCCTCACTGAAATAAAGTAAAACTGTTTGTTTGAATGAAACATACTTTAACAAACCAGCATTGTCTTTATACAGTGCCCTCCAAAAGTATTGGAACAGTGAGGCCAATTCCTTTATTTTTGTTGTAGGCTGAAAATATTTGGGTTTGACATCAAAAGATGAATATGGGACAAGAGATCAACATTTCAGCTTTTATTTCCAGGTATTTACATCTGGATCTGATACACAACTTAGAAGATAGCACCTTTTGTTTGAACCCACCCATTTTTCATGAGAGCAAAAGTATTGGAACATGTGACTGACAGGTGTGTTTTGTTGCCCAGGTGTCTCCCAATTACATTGATTATTCAAACAATAAATAGCACTGAATGTCTGAGCTCAGTTTCAGATTGGGTA